AGCTGCAGCTAGCAGGAAGCTGAACTTTTAGCACTTAGCTGCAGCTAGCAGGAAGCTGAACTGTCCATGCTTAGCTGCAGTTAGCAGGAAGCTAAACGGTTAGTGCTTAGCTGCAGCTAGCAGGAAGCTACACTGTTAGCGCTTGCAGGTAAACAGTCAGCAGCTCACCCCAGTCGTCGTTAATTCCACCAACTTGCCATTTTGCAGCACATTTAAACAACTGAACCAAAGTGGCTCTAAACAGTGAAACAATTTTAAAATGAGACAAGTTAGAATAGAATAAAACTTTATTGAACTTTATTGTTAAGTTCACCTAAAACGTTCAGATGTGACACAAGCAGAATCCAGAAGCTTCCTCTGAGCAGCACGCTGCGACAGTCTTCCAGCGTTTATCGTCACTTTTCTGTTTTTTGGAGGATTTTTCTCCAGGAATCAGGTTTTTTGTGCACATCTGCATTCACGGAACAACGGAGGAGGCTTGAATGACTAAACAGGAGAAGGTTGGAGTGGATGCGACCTGCCTGCCTCGGCTTCAACACCTCACATCAGTCCAGCAGGAACCTCAGTAGCTTCTAACGGAGCGTGAATCAGGTTTGTTTTAACCCTGACCTGAACCAAACTGGAAGCATCGAGTCAAAGCAGGAAAACAAAACCAGGATTCAGGGACTCGACCCCCCGTCTTCCTCGGTCTCTTCAGAGCTCCGTTAGTTTGTGTTGAAGGTTCCAGCCGGTTCTGTTCACATCAGTTTACTGGAAAATATCTAAAAACATTGGATGGAAATGTGACGCTAACATCAATTATTGACTTTTGTTTTAACCTGCAGTCGCATCTGTGCTCACGGACTCATAAAATAGGTCATTTTATTTTATTGTTTTCTGTTTGTAACCAACTTTTTTTTGCTGTTATTTTACAGATTTTCTCTGTTTTGTTCAATTATAAATAATATCAGGTCAAAACAAAATCTTTTTTTTTGTCACATTAACTGTAAATAACATCGTCATTGTCGATATTTTTATAAATAATAATTAGTTCTTTATTGGTTGACCTTAAATTTACACATTTTTCTGTATTTGTATCTGCAGAAAATATAAATGTTTGAAGAAAAGAATTCTCCCAGTTTGTTAAATTACAGATAAAATCCAGTAAAATCACAGAAAACAAAGAATTCATTTACATCTGGAAAAACTAAATACAGTAATTAGTTCTTTTTGAGTGTTTAAATGCATTTAAATCATCTTATTTTACTGATATGTGCTGTTGTTTAAAGGAGCCAAACATCTACATAAGGATTAAGTGAAAGTTTGCACATTTTGTTGATATTTCTTGATATTTTTTACTTTAAACGACAGCAAATATCTGTAAAATCATGTGTTTTTGCATTAAATGCAGCCGAACGGTGTCGTTTTACAGAAAAGAACAAATTATAACAAATAAATGAATCAGAATGCAGATTTCTGACGGACGTTCTTCAGTTTTTCTGTTATTTTATGATCTGAACTCTGGACAAACGGTAAAATAAGAGCGATTCGTTCAGGACAAACAAACCTGTGATTCAGATCCTCTGCAGCTGCTCTCGTTCTGCCGGGTTCGGCCCACTCTGAGCCCGACGGCCGGTTCTGCTTCTGGCTGAACGGTTTTAATGCTCTGTGCCTTCTTGTACATAAAAAGCTGAATCGATCGAGACGCTTCTTCAGGTGCCTTCGTGTCCTGAGCTGTGGAAACAAGGGAACGGACTGGACGGGAGGCGAAGCTCCGGCTCTGGTCCAGAAACGTTCAGCTGGTTTTAGTCTGGAGGCCGTCTGATGGTCTGAGGAACCGCTGAAGATAAAACCAGGAGAGCTCCTCTGTCGGTTCTCATCACGTCGCTGATTTAAAACCTGGAAGTTCATCAAATAACATCTGGAGTTAAAAAAAAAAGAAAAGTTCCATCTTTGAGCACAAAAACCTGCGAACTGGATCGAACCTGCAGCTTCATGTCTCGATGACACAAAACTAAACAGAAATCCTTCAATATCTGAAATATTTGGTCACTAAAATGAAAAAAAATCAGTTTTCTGGTTGAACTTTCGGAACCGATTGAGCGGTTTTGGACAAACTGAGCCACAGAAATGAGCAGATGTTGTGATTTAAGCAGAAATCTGGGCTTTAAATGAGTTTTTAATCCTAAAAACGACTTTAAATGTTGAGTTTTGTGTCGTCGCAGCTACACGAGGTTCAGAGAACGTCTCCATCAGCAGCTTGTTTTTATGGTCATTGATGCTCAAAGAGTTTTTGTGACGACTTTGGTTTATTTTTACCTCCAGTTAACGATGATCTGAGATCGTTTGGTCCATTTGTGTGATTTTACAGATTTTAAATCAGCGTGATGAGAACGTTCCAGGTTTTTATCTCCAGCGGTTCCTCAGAAGCAGGATCAGGTTCACAGATAAAACCTGCTGAAAGTGGGTCCGGTTCAAAGTGAACCTGGTCATAGCCGTGGAGTCGCAGCACTCTGAGACCACCACCCCCCTGAGGCTCGGTTCTGGTCCGATCCACACTACACATGAGCCTGAGCAGCAGTCATTTGGCAGCTTTACCGGTTTTCCTGCTGCGTGGCGGGAGATCACTCAGTATTTTGACTTTCCTCTGGACTCTGGGGAGAGAACTTCGCCTTCTGACCCGCGTCCTGGTTGCAGGACGGATCAGGACCGGAGCCGCTATGAGACACCCGGAGCCAAACGCGTCCCTCTGCTCAGTGTGGGTTTATTAGCCCAGTAGGTAACCGTCTGTATCCTGATGTACGTCTCCTGTTACATGCTCTGTTCTCATAAATAAACGTGTGCAATGACTGACGGCGTCCGTGTCGTTTGTTAACGAGTCGTTTACGAGTCGCTTCGTTAAAGGTCTCGTTAAGAACTCAATCAGTTACAGGTGAAGTCGTCTGAGCGCTCTGACCTCAGACCTTCACCAACTGAAGCTAAGATCCTAAAATATGAACAGTGGTGAACAAACGCTTTGGTTCTCCTCAGTCGGGTTCTTCTGGTTCCGTCCACCAGCTTCTGGTCCATCTCTGACTCCTCCGGACAGAATCGCCGCAGTTCAACTAAACTCGTCGTCTTTCTGACTCAGACTTGTTCCTTCATCAGTCCACAGGTTCTGGATGGTTCCAGTCAGGACTTTGGGGAGACCAGTCTAGAACCTTCATTCCAGCCTGATGGAACCAGTTCTTCACCACTTTGATGTGTGTTTGGGCTCATTGTCTGGTTGGAACATCCAACTGTGTCCAAGATCAACCTTCTGCTGATGGTTTCAGGTTCTCCTGAACAACGTGGAGGTGATCCTCCTTCTTCATGGTTCCACTGACTTTGTGTAAAGCTCCAGGTCCACTGGCAGCAGAACAGAACCAGAGCATGATGCTGCCACCTCCATGCTTGATGGTAGGTTTGGTGTTCTTGGGGTTAAAGGCCTCACCTTCTCTCCTCCAGACATGGTTCTGCTCAGTGTTTGTTCCATCTGAGCAGAACTTTCCTCCAGAAGGCCTTTTCTTTGTCCATGTGACCAGCAGCAGACTTCAGTCGTGGAATGTTTGTTCATGACTGTCTATAAAACACGAGAATCAGCCCGGTCATGTGACTTATCTTCAGTTTCTCTGGTTGGGAACTCTTTGAGGTGAGATCCTGTCTTCAGTCCATCATCAGTAGAATCTGTCGTGTGAGAACTTTGACCAGACCAGGTTCCAGTTCTTTGCTGCTTTGACTAAATGTTCATTTGGACTCGATGGTGGGAAACACAAGCTGCTGTTCGGTTGGTTTTCTGTGTGAAGCTGCGTCCATGTTGTCTTCAGGCTGATTTTTCCTTCATGAACTTACAGATGCTTCAACCAAAGATCTAAAACCTGGAAGCTTATCTTCTCACACCGACACACAACAGATTCTACAGAGATGTTTGTGAGGATGAAGGAAAACAAGAAAAACGCATCACTGCTGGTTTTCTTAGGATGTAATGACGTGTTACATCCAGCAGAGGGCGCCGTCTACCTGCTGCTGCCGTACATGCAGTGAACGGAGCAGATTTATTTACAGGAAGCAGCTTTAATGTTGAGTTTATAATAAAACTGCATCATTTACATCACAGTTAACGGATCTGTGTGCAACATGAACAAGTCGTCTGATAAAAAAATACTTTTTTATAATAATTTACAAAAAAATGCGTTTTATAGCAGTTAGAAACGTTATTTTACTGTTTTTTTAAAACATCACTTCAGCATAGCAGCAGGTTTTACACACGTTTTGCATCATCAGATAAATTTTCAAATAATTTTGACCAACAGAACAAACTGAAACAACAAAAACAACTTCTTTGTGATTCTTTTTTCTGTTTTTAGCTGTTTAATTATGTAGAATCGTATCACACACTTTACAGGCAGATATATTTATTTTTTTAATTTTCATGAAAAAGATAAAATAGAAAAAAACAGAGTAAAAAGAAAAAAAGCATGAAGTTGAGTAAAGTGCA